CGCAGCACAGCGCAGTACTGTGGGAAAGTGCTGTGCTCTAGCCTTAAATCCACTGGGATGCACAATCATTGCAGCAAGTGCGGGATTAAGGCGCTGTTGTAACTCTGAGAGTCACATCTCGGGTCTGGGAGGTATTCCGCGTTGGGGTTTACCCCTCTCACCTGCCTGGGCAGGTGTGTGCACTAAGTGTATAACTCGAGTGTGGCCGCGATGGGTTTGCCCTCCGTCCTGGTGTAGTGATAAAATTTGGGCGTGAGAGGGAAGTGTAACTTTTATTTCTTGGGTTTTACTAACGAGATCCATGAGAAGGAAATGTGGGTTGATGTCCTGGTTTTACTAAGGAACAGGAGGTTCAAGTCGGGGCAGATTGACCTCCCACCCGTAGGGATGGAGAGGTGCTGCCCCTGTCAGCTCTGCAGGGCACTCACTAGAGATTGCTGCGAACAATTCATGTGGGGAGTTATGCAAATAGTTAATGTAAACTGTGGTTTGTATGTATGTATGTAGACTGCATATGAAATGATGAACAATGAGTTTTTGGATGATCATTTCAAAGCAGTGGGAAAAAGGTGGTTCTACAACACTGCACATCATTGTTTCAGGGACCTGAAAAGCAAATCCTTTAGTGCTCGGGACAGATATTCATACTGGAGTCTTCTACTTCCCTGATCTGATATACACCTGTGAAATTTGGTTTTTGTAGGATTTGCAGGGAAAGTGGCACAATATTCTCTTCCAGACTAGGTTTTATTACTGTAATTCCAAGATGACATCCCTGCTGGTGATGGTTCCTGATAAGAGCTGAAATGGGTCTTGGTCACAGATGTCAGTGCTACTTATATATTCATTTTGAAAAAGAAGAAGAAAGAAATTCTAAAACTATATAAACAGTATATAAAGCAGTGTGAAACAATATATGTTTTATGAAAGCAGACTTTGATCAGTGCTTTCCTGAGATAGAACTTTATTCATTACTTAATGATTAGAAGTTTCCTTTTCATATGCAGTAGTGTTATTTCACTAGTCCTTCTCTATTTGTTTGCCATTAGGAGACTGGTAAAATCTGTATGGAATTATGTGTCTCGTATTATATAATAAAGAATCAAGGATATCTTTGAGGTTTGTTTTAATACCTGATCATAATTTGCATCCTGTGAGGTTTGTCTATTGTTTGCTGTAAACTCAGGAGTGATCTCTGTGATCAGATCAGAGCTTTGAAGTTCCACATAAAAATGTGATCAAATGCATAACTGCAAATTCCAGATTGTTTTACTGGAAATACAGTTATTTGTTACAGTAACTGATGTGTATGGATGTGACATGTCCTGGTTCTTCATTTGCTGTTTTGCTGGTGCTGTAGCTGGTGGATCTTAAGGCTGAACTCTTCCGCAAGCAAGAAGAATTCAAGAAAGAAAAGCTGCTGAAAGATGCTGGCATCTTTCCACAGCCCAGAACCTCTAATAAGGTAGAAATATTTTTCCATTTCTGTTTTTGTTCTTCTTTCTCCTTAAAGTAAGGAAGTTAATATGCAAAATCTAAATAAATAAATACTCAGAGCAGTGTTACTTGTCAAATGTAAAATGCACATGATGAGGATGTTCTTTAAATTTCACTTCCAGGTGAGATTGTTTTGCACAGCAGAAATCTTGTGCTTATGCACACCACTTAATTGTCATCCCACAGGGATCCACAGCTTTTGTAACTCTAGGAAAAGAGTTTTCTTTTTTTTGTTAGTCCAAGATTTTACGTTATTCCAAAGGATGGAGAATGAGAGACTCTTCCAGAGTCACTGAAATGCTCTGCTGTCTGTTTGTGGTGTATGATAGTGAATACATCATTACCTCTGATGTTTTACACTCTACTGCACTTTGGGTTTTGTTTGTTCTGTATCTTTCTAGTAGCAGGATATGTTGTTGCTGTAGTATTTGAAGCACATGCAGCATTTGCAGCATTACACTGCAAACAGGAAAACTGATTATATTTCGTATTTAAAATGGAGATAATAGAGAATAGAAAGAATTCCTAACTTTGTTATTACTTTACCAATCAGCAAGATTGTTCTTAATTTTTTTTTAACCTTAAAATCTTTGCCAGAATAGATTTGGTCTAATTTCTGAGTGCCTTTGGTTTGATTTTTTTTTCTCTTCTTAGCCTGTTCTTAATTCTGACACTGGGCTGCAGTCTGTGTTAATTCAGCACATACCTGCTGCATCCTACAGCACAGTGGGTATAGTCTCAAGTCAAACATTACCATTTCAATATTTTCACTTATTTGTTTGTTACAAAATTGTCCTGCACAGAAACCAAGTATCTGGACTAAACAGAACACTGGAGTTGCAAATCGAGCTGCAAAGGATGTTGAGCAGAAGACAGAAGATCAGGATGTGTTAGATCAATCAAGGTAACTCTTAGGCTTGGTAAGAAAAGAATGCTTTGGGGAATTTGTTTTTCAGTGTTTTTCAGAAATGCACAAAAAGGAAGTTACGTGTATTTTGGACTACCAGTTCTCACTAGACCAACCAGTAGGACCAGCCATCAATTCGGTGCTCTTTACCAGTAATGCCCAAACTGCATCCCAGCAGCTCCTGCTCTGGGGATACCTGCCCTCGCACTACCACAGCTGCCTCAGCTTGTCAGGCTAATGTTTTTTTTAAAGTCATCTTTAGAATTACAAGCCAGGGCAGTGACATAGTAGAATTCTAGAGCAAACTGTTTCTTGGACTTGACAGAAAATGGCTCACTTTTCTGCAAGAATTACCTCATCTTCTAAATAGGTTTGTTGCACAAAAAGGTATTTGTTGACAATGTCATTTGTAAGTAATTTGCTGTTCTTCTGTAAACAGTTCCTTGCTCTCTGAAATAGTTTTCTGCCATTCCAAAAGTTAGCTAAGGTTTTCTCTCCAGCTTCTAAGATTAAGTATAACCCTGTGTTATCTGTCTTTTATCTTTTTTCCCCCTGTCTTTTAGTGTCTGATACCTATAAATAATGGTTTAGCTTCCAGTATTTATCTCACAGTCTGTAACAGTTACATAGATGTTGAATACTTGTTACATCATGTTCCTGCCTACTTGACAAATTGCACTTAAGATTAATTCAGTAAAATTATTTTCAGTATAAACTCTGGAACTGAATATCTGTATCTTCAGAGATGCCAGTGAAAGTTCAAAACAAAAACCAGGTGGAAGTCAGTTTCTAATAAATATTTCAGGCACTCCTGGAACTTTCCCATTCCATTTATCTAAGGATAAATTGATCACCTTGAACTGTGTTTGGAATTGGGATTGCAATGTTCATTTTTTGTTTTCTTTTTCAGGAAGAAACTAGAAGAGAAAGCAAAGCTGTATGAGAAAATGACAAAAGGAGACTTCCCAGGTGACCAAAACTAGTGCAAAATGAGTATTTATAAATATAAAATTATCATACAAAGTGATTGATATGGTTTGTTCTGCTTTGTAAGGGAGAGCAAATACAGTTAAGAGAAAATAAAATTACTTTTTGAGGGACAACCTGTCCTAGTAAAGCACTAGGGATTTGTTTCACACATTCATTAATGGGTGGACCTATATGAGAAGAGCAGGAGGAGAGTCTGACTGGTCCATGTGGGAATGCCTGGTCCTGCAGCTGATGAGGCTAGAGAATGCTCATCTGTCCCTCTCTTCTCTCACACATTCAGTCCCTTGCAGGAAGGAATTATTAAAATAGAATACAGATCTCCTTGCAATTGATCTCTGATGTTTTCTTTACTAGTATCTTTGTCCACATGATCCACCACTTTTCTCTCCTTTTCTAAAAGTCACTTACTGACTGCTTAGCTGCTGCCAACATACCAAATCTTAAGACTCAGAAAAGTGTTTGAGCTGTTACATCACAAACCCTTTGCATCTGAAATAGTTAGTGAACAGAGAATGTTTTGCTGCAAAGAATTCAACCTTTTCTGTACTATACACAATACCCTAAAACTTTTATTGAGAACTAGATGTTATCACCATGGAGCCAATTTACAGCTCCAGGTTTGTCTGGCACTGAATGAGGTTTCAGTATTCCCCAGTAGTGTGGTCAAGGGCATTGCTGGCAGCTGAAAAGCTGACTGTATTTGGTATTGATTTTGTGCTCAGTTCTGCTCTTTTCAGAGCAGAACTTTTCTGGCTGTTCTCTAAGAATTGATTTTGTGCCTTAGATGAAGAAACTGAGGATTTGTACCTGGTGGATTTCACTCAGAAGATCATAGACAAACGACATGAAGTGCAGGAGCTGCATCAGAGTGAAGCTGCTGGAAAGACTTCAGAAAGAGACACAGATGATGAGGAAACTCAACCTGACGCAGACATACCACCCCCTGAGGACCCAGATGAAGAATGGTTGGTGCTACTGGTTGGACTCAGCTGTCCTGGCTGCTCTGTTTCGTGGCAATTGCATGAGAAAATAATGTTATTCTCCAAAGGAGTGAAGTGGCACCTTTTTTTCTTTTTTTGTTTAATAATACACATTGAGAAGAGGTGGTAAAATTCTTTCATGTCTTCTTTAAAGACAGTCCTTTGTGGTAGTTTCCTTTTCATGTAGGCAACAATGCAATGGAATCTACATCCAGGAATTTGAGAAAGAGCAGTCAGGGAAATGTACTATAAGGGAGACATCATAATATCTTATTTTCTTGCATAGTTCATGTGAGTTCTGATCTCAGTATTGATGCAATTTTATGCTTTGAGGTCTTGAAATGTATTTTAGCAGAACTTGGGGGCTTTATTGTGTTCACCTTCCCTTTTTTTAATTGTGTGTGACTTACAAATTGCACAGTCATTCTGTTGTACAACCTTCTCTTAAAGGAGATAAACTCAGACTGGAATAAGAATATGATTTTCCAGCATTTTTTCCACTGTTTAACTGCAGCACAGCAAATCGTTTCTGACGATGATCTGTGAAATTCCAAGTAACCACAAGTTTTTCATCCAAGACATTAGGAATAACTATGAAACCAATCTGACTAAACATTTTCCTTGCCTATTTGTTTAAAATGCTTATGGAACAGGAGATTTTACTTCTGTTAATCAGTTTAAACCAACAGTAACCAATACCAAACACCACCTCTGTTCTTCAGTTTATTAGCCCAAGATACAATTTGCCATGTAATGTGTCGGGATAAATTGGGAGAATTAATCCAGCAGAGTTCCAGCACACAGCTGGATTGGAAAGGCAGAGAGACTCCTCATCAGCATTGTGCTGAAATTCAAGATAAGCTGCCAATGAGTGATGGGCTCAGACTGCTTTGTGCTCCCATCACCACAAAGTATCAGAACTAAACAGGGACATTTCGGAGTTCACATGGTGCTTTGCTGTCACTGCCTCCATCTCATGTCAGTGACACGTGTCATTACTAACACAGTGTCCATCTCATAGGCCATATCCTGATGAACATATTTGTGTGCTAGCATAATTAACTCTAAGTATTATGTAGCCATAGTTACATCTTTACTATAGAGAATGCAGATTTCTCTTCTACTGATGTTACATGGCAGTAAAAACTGAAGGGCACTGAGTATATACTAAACTATAGATATCTTAGAAACTATGTAAAAGACATAACTTGCTAAAAACACAGATCTTTAAAAGTTTGGGTTTGGAGAACTAGATTGCCAATCATACTTCTACAGAGCAAATATTAATTCTTTAGGATGGGATAATTGAGGCAGGTTGATGCTAAAGAACTTTCTAAGTTACAGGGCAATAAGTACAGCTCGTAACAGCTTTTTTGACAGCTGTAAATTAGATGTTCAATACTATCAAAAGTTGAATAAGAAGTGCTTCAAAGGAACATTTTGCTTGCGTTTTAGTCAGCCTTGTCCAGTTGAATGAACACCATCAGCCTGTTCTGAATGAGCTTTAGATAATTAAAGTATATTCTAGCAATTTCATATCCACAAGAAGTCAATGCCACATCATTATTTTCACCATGGTTAAGCAAGTACTAGACTGAGTTTTATTTTGTTGTGAAAACTACATGACATTGTAACTTTTGAACATTTTTTACACCATTTTATGGCCCAGGCAAACAGCCATCTCAAAGGGAGATTGGGTAAAGGTCTAATACAAATATCCACACCCTGTTCAGAATGTGTCTCTTAACCTGGGAGTGTGTTAACTGACAAGAGGAAACCACTGTCACACACAGAGAGACTGAGAGGTGATGAATGCTCTTGGGAAAGTGTCACTGCCTCTGTCTTCTGGTAAAGACTTCTGTAAATCTGCAAATATAAGTTCTGCATCAATTTCCTTTGCTTTCATTTCAGGGTTGATTATGTTGATTTCTTGGGCCGATCTAGATGCTGTATGAAGAAGGATTTGCCAAGTCTACTTAAAATGGACCAGGAACTTCAAGGAAAAAGGTGTGGTTTTTCTAATGGAACTGCATGTTCCTCTCAGTATTTAACACACTTTTTTAGTGAGAAGGACCAGAGGCTGTGCTTTGTCACCCCACTCTCAATCCAGAGTTGGTGATGCTATTGCTTTCCCTAGGGTTGCATAGTTTGCAGAGAAAGGGTTTAATCAATTGACTTAGCAATCTCAGATATTTGAAACATCTTTTATAACTGGGGTCCTTGTGTGGAAATTGTATTTTGTTATGCCTCCCATAAAATGCCAGAGAAGTGATTCCTGGTTCTGTTTAACCTGGAAACTGATGACAATGTTTTAGCAGTTCCAAATTCATCATGATATTCAGAGTGAATTTGTTATGTCTCCATTTATTTGGTTTTGCTCTTCTGTTAAACAGCTGTTTAACAACTCTTGTGTTAAAATTATTTCCATATTGTGTATTCATATTTGGCATGGACTTCTAGGGTAATTGGCTGCTTTTTTTTACTTCAAATACCTTTCCTTTTCTTATGCTACATCTGTAATGTTTCTATATGTGGTTGCTGAATCCCCAGAGATGCCAATAAAAGGCATTGCTGCATCTCTCATTCTGTGAGCTGGTAATGATTTCATAAAGCTTCTGATAAAGGATGTGATTTTGTTTGTCTTTTAATAACATGTTCTACTAGCATCTTGTTTCAAAGGTAGTTTTGTATTTCTGTCTTCACCATGTACCATAAGTCATCAATGGTGTATCACTAAGTGGTGCCCACAGTGATCTGTGTTTTATGAAAACTGCAACAGTAAATCAGACCAAATCATAATTTCACTGTTTGGTACTCTTAAGTTCTGCTCTGTAATCCCTACCTTTTTTTTTTTATTATTAGACAAGATCTTGATGGGAATACACTGTTATCTGAGGACATGAGAAGAGAACTTCAGAGGCAACAATGGGAAAAGGAAGAAGAAGAAGCCCTCAGAAAACCCATGGGACCCATACATTATGAGGACATTCGAGAAAATGGTACACTGCCACACTTTATAGCCCTTACCTTTGTATCACCAAAGAGATTAGCTGTAGAGGAAGCAAGGGAAAGTTACTTCCTGTGCCTGTATGGCAGATGTAGGTATGCATCAAGCCACATGTGTAATAACCATTCAGATTTACCAGTACATAAATTAGATATATTTTTCCTCAAATTCTGTTTTTCTCAAATGCATTTTTAAAATTTCTTTACTACCTCCTCTGTTCTCCTTCAGGAAACTTCACTTTATATATCATCTAAAGCCCTTTTTAGCTGTCTGAAACTGAAAGTGGTGTAAGTTGTTAGGAGTAATTCCATGCCTGGAAGCAGAGTGCCTGGTGCCTGGAGTTACAAACTGCATGTAATGTGAATTTATGGCTTTTCTTCTTCTCAGAGGCCAGGCAGCTTGGGGTTGGCTACTTTGCCTTTTCTCGTGACCAAGAACTTAGGCATAAACAACGAGCAACGCTGGATATGCTGCGGGAGCAGGTATGAGTGTGAGGAGCAGTCTGGGAACAAGAGCAGCCAAGTGTCAGTGGTCACTGGCTTTGGTTTGTTGTGTAAATGTTACACTAGGTGATGCCTGCGACTGGCTCCAAAACAATCTGGCTTCTTTTTCCTGTTGAAACCTGGTCCTTGATAAGGATTTCTTTTAGTTGTTTGCTGAAGGGACATATGTACTTGATTGTAATATCAAAGGACAATTCATTCATGTTTTTCTTTGCTGTTCAGACACTTGATCAGAGAACTAAACGTGAACAGCTGAAGGAGAAGAGGAAGGCAGCCCTGGATGCAAGGCTGTCCAAACTGCGAGCACGGAAGGTTAAAAAGTTAAGGGAGGCTGGATTAGAGGAAGAGGCAGAAAAACTGGAGAATGGCGGTATGATCTTTTTATGTTAAACATTAGTTCATCTTCTACGTGATCTATGGCCAGGCAGACTCTGATTGATTTAGGTTTGGACGTTCAGTATTTTGGGATTATGTGCTCTATATATACAATAGGATAGTTAGGATTGTGAGAGTTCATATCATTGTGTGTAGATATAAAATCATCCCATAAATAGCTTAATAATGCAGGTAGAAATACAATGTGTAGATTGTA